TGATATCCCAAATCATTATATAATTTTTTTGTTTTGTTTTATGATAATGCATTAAATATATTGAAATTTTCCTCTTTAACAATTTCATGCATGATGCACTTGAAAGAAGTAAACATCAGAAACTGTGACAAGCCTTAATGGAAAGCTATTTTTAATCCCATTTTAATCGACGTCTGAAAACCTGGCTAAGATCAAATATGATACAGCAACGATTCAGCAACCTCACGCTACTAAATTGTCATAAGAGGGAAACAGAGGAGCTGAATGTCATTGAAATCGCCAATGCCCTGGCTGGACGCAACGACAACCGAAAGAAGAATTCTTAACTGTTTCAGATTGCTGAAGAGAAAAAAAGTCACAATGACTCTCGTATGAAATTACAATGATCTCGAAGTTAAAAGATTAATTCTCGGGATCGATTCGTGAATTTTACAATGTATTTTCTATACTGTCTGAAACAGTTAGATTCCTATTTACTTAGCTTTGACATAAGAAGCAGAATTCCWGTTGGTGATGCTACTAAAATGGGCGTAATTACGAATTAATTACCAACCGCCAGCGTAAAGATGACGCACTGCAGAAAAACACTTTTAAAAAGATATTTCTTGCTTCTAGCGTAGAGTCCTACAATTGTAAATGGATGGTTCGATACTAGATACATTTTCCTTTATACCTTGCTATAAAATATTAGTTATTATACCAATTTAAGTATAAACGAGAGCAGTTATAATCTTATATTTAAGTCCTTTGTAAACATTGATGCGACCTGATTCTAGTTTAGGATGATAAAGTCCATAAAGCTAATAGCAGCAAAAGTAAACTTTTAACGGAAAACAGGAAAATATTTCGATATTCTAAAATAACCTATTCGTTAAGTCAATGAAATGTTGACCAAAGAAAGTCAATCTCTAATAACACCTTTTTAAATGTAAACAACTTATCAGAAATAACACTTCCTTATTAATCTTTAAATATATACTGTCCTTTTTGCCTTGAAAATCTCATATCTAAATGAAAGGCAATTATGAGTAATATAAATATGGAATGACTCTCGTATGAAATTACAATGATCTCGAAGTTAAACTATTATCAATAAAGCTCTTAAGTTGATATCCCAAATCATTATATAATTTTTTGTTTTGTTTTATAATGCATTAAATATATTGAAATTTTCCTCTTTAACAATTTCATGCATGATACATGATGCATGATCAAATATGACACAGCAACGATTCAGCAACCTCACGCTACTAAATTGTCATAAGAGGGAAACAGAGGAGCAGAATGTCATTGAAATCGCCAATGCCCTGGCTGGACGCAACGACAACCGAAAGAAGAATTCTTAACTGTTTCAGATTGCTGAAGAGAAAAAAAGTCACAATGACTCTCGTATGAAATTACAATGATCTCGAAGTTAAA